ATTGTCCGGAATACAGCTCACCCCTTTATCGCAGGGATGCACCATAACACACCAGCTTGACCTGGGGTGCAGCACAGCACACGGTGTTTTCAAGATGCAAAACAGAGGATGTTACAAGAAGACGAGGTGGAATTGGCTGCGACGCCCTGTTCCAGCTTGTCCTGGATAAAGTGCATCATTCGAGTTTGTCCTTGGGTGCAGCACAGCACCAGGTGTTTTCAAGATGTAAAAGGGAGGGTGTTAAACGATGTTCAGGTGGAAGTGTATGATGCATCAAGCCTTCGGATGCCAGAAATTATCTCCGTGTGTTGTACCCACCTGGGGATCAAACCCGGACCTTCGTCGTGACAGCCGAACGCTTTAGCCTATCAACCACCTCACTGTCTCCAAACCCCAATCAGGGTGATCGTGATTCAGAAGATCCAAAGCATTGGCATTAGTATTCCAGTTGTAATCAATCTATATTTCCTCATTGCCTGTTAGGTGTCTATTATTAATTTGTTAGTTCACGGTTTTAATTAATTACTTGTTTAGTTCCAGTGATTACAATGACATGGTCCCCGTGTGCTCTCTCTTGGATCTCATTGGAGAAACCTTTCAATAATGGCTAGAGACAGTGTCAGGTTCAATTACCAGCCATAGAGAACGACAGGTTTCAGTTCTTTCAGATCAGTGGAAAATTGCATAGGAGCACGCATGGATGAGCTGTTTCACAATGGCAGGTGCATAATTCATTAAGATCACACTTGTGAAAACCCTATGATGTAGTCCCATGTTTCTCAGAACACGCAAGGGGCTGGGGAAGGGGTGGAGTTGAATGGAGGATCGGAGTCATATTATGAGACTGACGAGGCTCTAGTTTGGTAAAGAGCGCAAAAGCATTGACGACTCGTACAACCCATTCTTTCTCTCTCTCCCTCCCTCTCTCTCTCTCTCTCTCTCTCTCTCTCTCTCTCTCTCTCTATCTCTCACGCACACACACAACACTGCAGAACCTACCTGCAGATCCTACCTCTCCCTAGTCCTTCCAACGCCAACAAAAATTGACAGATAATTTACTGAAGGCCACAAGGACCTGCAAATATTTGAAACTGCCAGCCCGATACATTAACAACCGGCGCTGGGACTCCGGGCCGGCGGTTTTTTCAACGCAGCTGCTTCCAACGCCGATCTCTCTCTCATTCATACAGTGGCTCATTGTGAGGATCAATCGTCCATTGCGCCGCTCTGTGCAGAGTTGCCCTCAGGCTTGGGTTCGAATCCCAGATTTGCCCAGGATGTTAAGAAATGGTTTGTCGGTTCTCGTGGCACCAAAATGATAAACATTTAAGTCAAGCATTTCTTCTGGGATTGTTCACACAATAAACTGGCAAGCGATGATACAGAGTCCAACATCGTGTTGAAACGCACGCGCCGATTAAGACAAATTAAGAAATGTAATTTCGAATTTCACCCTCGTGTAAAATCGAACCCTGGTTTAACCACGTATCGTACCCTTTGGAAAATTGAGGCCAATAGTTGTGTTTTGTTACGCACATGTCACACCAAACATGTATCAGGAAAATGCATCCGAAATAGAAGTGACAATCCAAACGGCAAAATGCACACTTCAATCCTCTAAATGTTCTGCTTTCCACACAGAACTCATGCTCTGCATTAAATTCTCTCACAAAAAGATTCTCATTAAGCCGTGCAACCGTATAACCAGCGGAAGGGTCCGAGCTCTTATGTAAGCATATGAATGCAAAATAACTACTCACGCAAAGCCTGGTGAATGTAGGCTTTTTTTTACAATAGAGTTTTCATGTTCAAAACGCTTAATTATATATTCAGCCCATGCTGTTTCACATTTTAAAGACACTCTGATTTCTACATGATCCACTTCGTGTTATTTTGCTGCAATAGTTGTGTAGTCAGCGTGAAGGCATGCTCATGTACTTCTAATGCATTTCCGTCGATATATCACAGCAAAACTGAAGAAATTTCTCTCGTTTTCTTATGAGTACAACACTAGAGAAACGTCGTCGTGTTCTGGGCAATAGTCACACAGTTCAGTCTTGGAAAATGAGAATACTTCAGGACTGAACAGGAAGACCTTTAACGGGGGCATAGTGAACAGATAGACAATCAGGTGATCTTTAGTAACACTGGCGCGGTAGAGTGGTTGGATGGGTGTCCGCGTACAGCACTCATCAAGGTATACAGTGTTCTTGCCAGGCCTTGCACTGAAACACATCATATAGACAGATCTGGTATTCACAAGTAGGAGTTGGAGGATTACTTCTGTTAGGCAACTAATGCGATAAAATAGATGTGAATGAGAGCGCTCAAGAGTAGAGTTCAGTCTGTAATAGCAGCTCACCGATATGGGACGATGTCATACACTCGAAACGTGTCTCATACCACAGCGTACAAATGATAGATCGAAAGACCTTGATGAACAATCATAAAGTGTTCAAGAATTATTTTGACAGAAGTTATAAAACAATATATTGAACATCCGTCTTACTTCATTCCAGAATGTAAGCATAACAACAAACGCCACAATAGAGAATGGCACTGCGATACGGTAAGCTGGTAAACCTTAAATAAGAACACTGGCCTTTACCTTAAATAAGAGCAGTGACGCATATATCGTTAAGAAAGGTTCATATGAATGACAACATAGGCTCGGAAAATTGAAATTAAAAAAAAAGACTGACGTAGAGGTTTCCAGCTGGTTCAATAATTCAGCATGAGCTTCGAACCGACATATCTTTTGCAAATAAACAAAGAACAAAATAAGGTACAATAAGTTGTGATTTTTATATGTAACTGAAAATTCGAAGAACTGTTGTTAAATTGGATTGTGTCCTTTTATCACTCGTTCTTGCAACAGTTTGAAAAAAAAGTAATCCGTGGCCGGAAAAAAACAGTTGATTATTTTTCGAGGAATAAGATATCTATCAGCAACAGCTGTGTAATATGCAGAAGAAATTTATTTTCAAAGTCTAAAATCAAATTGCATGAAATGAATAGAACTGTTTAGACTTGTTATTTGATTGCTGACTAACGTTTATGCAGTTGATTTCTTGGATATATATTATCAGTAATTTATGATATTTTCAATATTGAGAAAACACACACAAGACAAAAGGGTACAGTTTCTTTTGTACAGCGGGTTACAGCGACTGATTTAGGACAGTCATTGTACAAATAATTCCTAAGACAACAAACTGGGTTGCCCAGACCACAGGGGTTTGAATCACTGTTTGGACAATAATTTAAAAAAATAATAATCTACACTTTTTAACCGTATATGTTGTTATATGTTATGATTAACCTTTGTTTCAAATTTGAACGAGATCGGTGAAGAAATGAATTTTTAAGAAAATTCTACCGCTACACTCATTACATGTACTAAGTGGGCACATGTAGGCGTGGATCCATTCACTGACTATCTCATCTTTAGATTTCCAATCAAGCAAGTCTAGATTTCCCAATCCGACTGGGACTCCTTTTCAATTTAAATGGATTTATTTGTTACTATCACATTTATATATATATATATATTCAGACACTAAGTGTTAATCTAGATGTTAAATTGAAATTGGAGAAATATGCCTTCTTTACTGAAGGAAACGGAAATGTACAAAATAAAAGTGAATCCGTAATTTTCAAATTGACATTTCCAGATCGCTCATAAGATCCCTTATCCTTTCTCGTCTTTTACCGAACTAATGAAATGGCGGACATCAAATAACACCACAAATCATTTCATGTCATTTCATGTTTTGGAGTAAAAGATACACAGAATCTCTCAAAATATTCTTCAAAATATTATTGCCTTAATATTTGAAATACCACCAAGTGTTGCTCCTACTTGACCTTGACCTTGAAAGGAAGACAGAGTGTTTGGACAACTCCAGCATGCATCATGAGATACCGAACCGAACTGACAGTTGGTGTTTCCGCGAAGGTCATTAATCTGCCCCCATGTAAGGACTGATTGTTTGAAGTTTGATGTCATCCAGGTTTGACGACGTTAAATCACTTGATATCAGGTGAGTGATTAAAAGGTTCAAATTCGAGCACAGAGAAGAAAACAAAAACGTTGGAATTGAAAATAAACGGCACAAAGCGGATTGGGCTTATGACGTCACGCAATCTCTGACTTTAAAGAACGCCTTTATCAGATCCTCTGAAGAAAATCACATTGATGAATGACTTTGAAAGCACAGGACGTTTGTGAAAATGGTTAGGAAGGGAAGGCATTAAATAAATGAGCTGTACTGTTCCCCAGTTGCCAGACCCTGGAGACTTAGAGTCTGCTAGAAGACACAATCCTGTTGAGGCCATTGAGCAAGCTTTATGAAGTTTGCATGGCTCTTTAACCTGGGAGTAAGCTTCTTATCTTACACAATTCTCAGTTTAAAGGGCAGTAATGTCACAAGTGACTTTGAGCTGACTTTCGCTTCCCGTGTCGACCTGTCTCAGTGCACATCGATACTGTTCCGTGACACAAGACGCAGGGGTTACTTTAGTATTGCTTCGGTTAATCGGATTCTTTGTCACTTTGTCAAATTGTTTTATGAGCCACAGACAGGTTTCTCATGCAATATTTTCCCCATTTTGAACGGTAGACTTTAGACTTTAGACTTAAATCCGCATAAAGAGATGTATCGATGGATTCAACAAATGTGCAAGAGTTGTTTGACTAGAGTTTCAGTATTCAATGCCCCAGGAAAGTTTCTAGATGTTCTGTGGTTGACATGATCCGGACATTTTCGAATTTGACACAAGACCCACAAAATATGTTTGATGCAATTTGATATTTTTGCATGTACCTTGTGTTTCCGTACTTTTCAGGTAAATATTGTCAAGCCTTTGCATGTGTTATTGACATGTGCCAGCGATAACAGCAGGATACGCACATCGTTTTACGGACTCCTGATATTATCACCGCTTGGTAGTGATTCATAAACACATATTCATGATTAAATCAGAAACGTGTATTCGACCCTCCTTTTTTGCAGAAATTTCATGTTTTTAGTTCTTTTTATTTACTTTTTTTATTATTATTATTATTATTATTATTTTTTATTACTGTATTTTTTATTATTTGTTTTCATATACTTATTTATTAACTAAAAACAACAACATGTTACCATGGTTACCTTGCAATTGTCACTGAACATAGCAGGCTTAGTACATGGTCAATCACTTTGTCAACTGTTAGGAATGAAGACACAAATTAAGACTGTCCAGTGTAATGCTAATCCAGGCCATATTGTTGTATTTGCAGATGGAACCATTTATTTGAGCATTAGTTTCTTTTAAAAGTTGTGTTTAATACAGTTGTAAGGAATCTCAGTTTCTGTGGGTTTTAATGCGATTGTTATAAAGTTCTAAGGTTACATAATGCTGATTTGGAGTAAACTATGTGAATACAGGTTGTCATGTACTGAATTTTATACTTTAAGCACCATGTTATTTCACATAGGTAGTTAAATCGTGTCCATTGAATGCCAGACGAGCGTACCATGTGTTAGTAATGATGTGTTGCTTGGTAGATGTTTGTGTTGCAGGATGATCTTGCTATAAGACTATATACCACATTGTGTACAAAGGGCAGAGGCTCCTATCACATTCAACAGGACACAGGAAGATTGCCTAAACAAAGCCTCTTCAGTAATGGTGACACTTTGTAAATATGATAGCTGGTAAATATTACCAGTTTTACAGGACATTTGACTATCCTTGAAGGACCATTACCAATGCCATCTTTGCACAGTGTGTGTTCATTGAGGTGATCATGGGTATCTCAAATCCACCACAGCTTGTGTACCAAGATATCTCATACTGTTGTACAGTTTTTAAGTTCATGTACTCAACAGCAAATAAAGCACCAAAAAACTTCATTAGCCTATGGACGGATTTTGTCGCTGTTACTTTCCAATTACCAAATATTTATATATCAAGGTTATGTTCCAATAATGGTGATTGATATATTGACTGTACCTGTATACCCATACTAAATAATACTGGCTTTGTTTATTATAGCATAAACCAAGGGCTATCGCCTCCTATCATTTTTTATTTCTTTATTTTTCTTTTAAAATACATCCAATCCCAAATTTACAAAATACTTTGTGTTATTCAAATAATGATTTAAATATCTACCTATGTCGTATGGTCGTATTGAATGAACTTTTCAGTTTTGTATTCAACTCACCATTATTTTAGGGTCTGCGGAATCCGTAAAACAAATAATTACAAAAGATATTTTCATCCGGAAATACTACATTATTATGAAGCCACAAAATATATTGCCTTTGCAAATGCGAGGCAAACACAATTTTATACTTTTGGGTCTTCCTTCCATACACTCTTTACGAATATCATAATCCATGATGTATCTATATAAACAATCGTATATATATATAAGTGTGTGTGTGTGTGTGTGTGTGTGTATATATATATATATATATATATATATATATATATAAGTGTATATATATATATGTATGTGTAAGTATGTATGTATGCGTATGTATGTGTACATGAGGTATATATATATATGAGTTACGTGCATGTATATGGAAATGTATACAAATTAATACAAGCAATGTACAGCGTCTCCTATTATATATCAGCTAAGTAATGAATATGACTCATGATTATTGCAACTGTGTAAAATTCTTATTATACATATTACATTGTCTATATAACTGAAAAGTGATGTATAACATGTTTCTTCTACAGCAGGACTCCAATACTGTAAAATGTGACATGTATCTTTCTCTTGAAAGTGGTGTGAAAGTGGTGTGTAACACACATGCAAAAGCTGCATATTATAACCTGTGAAAATTACATTTCATCTTCAAATACGATGTACAACATACTGATGGGAAATAAATATACATTAAAAAAATATTAATAATAATTACAAAAGACTCTCTCAGTGTCAACTAGATTCAACGCCGTTCCTGTCACATATCCAGGTAATTATGAAATATTCTCACTCTCCGCTTTCTTAGGCGCAGAAACGCCAACAGCTGCGTTAGTAATCCTCTTTACAATCTGAAATCAGTTGATCACTCCCGAGAAAGCTGATGTCTTTAACGCATCACACATGCTCTTTAACACATCACCCGGGTCTCTTGACGCAGCTAAACCTACTGAAGGACACGAAGGACACTGTTGTTCATAAGGGTACATGCGGTGAGTACTTTGATCACATCTCAGGGTTGAAGCTGTCATCGTTATCATCAATATTTCAGCTTCATCTGCAGCTTCACAAATACTGCAGGCTTTTCAAATTAGACACTTGTGGGGAATTATGTGCAAATAAATAAGAACGTCCATCAATCAGATATGTGTATCTAATATATATTGGACATGGCTTTGAACCAGTTCCAAAATTAATAAAAATAGCACGTTTTCACGTTTCATGAATTAACACATTGACCACGAGGCAGCCTCCGCTGTCGAGGTATTCGGGTATTGCCGGTGATGTCAAGATGACGATATGCATGACTAGGTTTAACTTTACAAGCGTGAGGAATGAGGATAATTCAAATATTTTCTCTTCCAGGTTTATATGGGGTACGGCTAAGAAAAAATCGTTTGTAGATAATTTACATTCTGATACTGTACAGGGAATATTCGAAAACTCTCTCGTTGTTGCATTTAGAAATACTAATGACAGTATAGATTACATGTGTAAAGGATTATGTGCGGCAGCAGATGAACTGGTAGTAAACGTAAAACTAGTAAACCTTGGTGTTAGGCTGAATGTGAATTTAAAAAGAAAGATAGCTACAGGACTTTGAATAAATTCAGAAAAGATAAGGAACCCGTTTCCCTCCACGAATGCGTGGATGCTAGAAATGAGTATAATGCGATTTGTCAAGTTAAAAAAGGACAATATAATGAACACAAACTTCGCTTATTAGACGAATCATTTGAAAATCCTAAACGTTTTTGAGAAGTAATAAAAAGTTTAAAATCCAATTTTAGAGAAAATACTATTCCAAGTCATGAGTGGTACGATCATTTCAAAATATTATTTAATGTTTCAGGCCCTGAGAAAGAAGATAATGGTAACGTGTTCAGGCCTTTCTTTGATTTTATTATGAACAATGATGTTGAAGATGAAATTACAACTGATGTTCTAGATGCACCAATTTCAGAGTTTGAAATAAGAGAAAGTATACGACATCTGAAGAAAGACAAATCTGCAGGAATAGACAATACTACAGCAGAGTTTACAAGAACGCGGAAGATGTGCTTACACTTTACCTGCTAGTAATATTCAACTTTAAAATTTATGCTCGAAAATGCTACCTGCCCAGAAGCAAGGGATACCGGTATTTTCATTCCACTGTTTAAGGGTTGGGATCCAAAATTTGCAAATAATTACCGCCGTATCACATTAATTAGTATTTTTAGTAATGTTTCCTTGTTTATCATTAATAAAAGACTTGTTTTCTGGGCTGATTGGAAAGATAAAATTCATGAATCACATGCGGGCTTTAGAGAGGGTTACTCACTGCACCACTGATAATATGGTCATTCTCCAAAGCCTTGTAAGCCGCCATAAAGCTGGAATATTGCTGAGTGCGGCGTAAAACTAAACTCACTCACTCCCAAAGCTCTGTACGTAAAGGTGGTAGATTTTATGTTTTATTTGTAGATTTTGCCAATGCATTCGACTCAGTTGATAGGAACAAATTATGGAAGTACTCACCCAGCACGGATAAAGAGGGTTCGACTAGGTGAGATGATGAAGGTAATGTCAAGATGAGGATATGCATGACCATGTCAGATGATACAAACTAACAAGTGCCGCAAATTGATCTCAGATGGCACCAGTGGACGACAGGTGATACTAGACTACATGGCGTTGTGCATCGATGGAAATCATATTTCACTTCACTGTGTGGCAATCAACACATTTGTAGAAGGTGCAATCATTAGAACCACTGCAGCATCGGACCAAGCAAAACTTATAGCGTGATTACAAAAATACAATTACTCCAGATTTGTGATTTGGGCAATCATTGGATTACTCCACGCACGCTACTCTTCTGAACATCATCTGTGCATCCGGCTTCATCGACACTAACTGAGTCACTCAAAATAGAATTCAATATCGGGCGACACTCGAACTTCCTTTGAAGGCCTTTGAAACAAAGGCTATGTAATAGCTCAAATTGGCACGTTACTCTTCCGCGGGTTACAAATCATTGTATATGAAGGGTCGTAATTGGAGACGACGTGTGAAATATGGTAGCATTTGTTTTGGTGTTGTCATCTAATCCGTCACTCACATTCCTTCGAAGGCGGGATTTGAAAAACAAACCGCTGTCAGCCACGTCTGCAACTGAGGTTGAACAAGTAACCCAGATATAAGACGATGTGTAAAATTGGTTTCCCTCTGATTTAACGCACGGATCCGCCTACAGAAGAGTGATAAGAGTCTACACAATGTCTTTTTCACAGACGAAGCAGATCATAAATCAGTAGACGACCAGTACAGAAAGCCCTGCTTCTTACAATGCATGCCTTCACGGACAAAGAGGCTGTTACTAAAGCACAAATTGCTGCAGGACGAATGGTCCTCACTCACAAGGCAAGACGCTTTATTCTGTCTTGCTCAACATTAAAGCCTCATGCTCATCTGCATATCTGAGAGGAGAAAAACAAAGTCAAAAGTTGAAATATTTTGAATTCCAAACCGTTGTCCCATTGTTATGTAATAAAATAACAACTCTGTGATTATGGTGGAGTAGAACCTGTATATACCCCAGCAATTCATTGGGTTCAACAGCTTTAATGGCAGATACTTCAAACGGCTTCAATGGCTAGGGCTATTTGAAACACCTCAATAGCTCCACGCCTCACATTCTATGGCTACTTCAACAACTTCAGTGTCTCAAAGGCTATGGCTACTATAACACCTTCAATGATTATGGATATTCCAACGACTTCAGTAGCTGCGGATAGTCCCACAACTAACACATTAACCGCTACAACGGCTTATTTGTTCAGCACACAGAGTTAAGCAATATGTCTGTTGACCGTGCAGTATGTTGAATGTGTTGACAAGATTTATGTAGGCTGCAAGGAATTTCCTAAAAACGTTTCAAAGCAATGTCCATTTTAGTGCAAACCCCTGAGGATAAATAACATCTACCTCTATGAGCCATTGAACGTTTGGTTTGGTTTGGTTTGGATGTTGTCAAACACCACACACAGCATATTCCAGCACTATACTACAGGCTTCGAATATTGAATGAATGAGTTTAGTTTTACGCCGCACTCAGCAGTATTCCACCTAAATAGCGGCGGTCTCAAAATACTGGAGTCTAAACCAGACAATCCAGTGATCAACAATATGAGCATCGATCTACG